GCACTCCGGATAAGAAAGACTTTTTTGTTTCTCTTTTCTATTGCTCTGTTATCTCCGTTGCGTTCTGTCTACGCCAAAGATTACACGGGCTATTCTTGCACGACTAAATTTAATAAGAAATGAATAAAAAAAAAAAACGCGACGTGACGACGCAAATCTAGAGAGGGCAGGCGGCTAGCAAGCGAAGAAAAGCCGGACAAAAGGGTCCCTAAACTTGTCAAACACAAAGTTGGAGTCGAAAGTTCGCGGAGGGCGCCGATTGGACGTCGGTGACAAAAGTGCGAAGTCATCGTCGTGATTGTCGTGTCGGTGCGCCCCTTCAACTTCGGCCCGAACTCTGTGTTTGACGAGTTTAGAGCCGTAGGTGCGCCATCGAGCGACATTGAGAGCCGTTGGAGATGCAGAGACAAGACGCCTGCGTACACACTGCGTCCGTCGGTGACCACAATCTCGTGTTTTTGTGTGCGCGAATGTGAGGATCAATGCTTTATGTGTTGTGTGCCGTGCTGTCGAGAAAATTACGCCGGGGAATCGAAGGTTCACGTGTTCTCCTTCCCAGCCGACGAGCAACGGCATATGCAATGGATTCAGGCGGTTCCGGAGAAAGTAGTTGCGAGCTCTTTGAAGGTAGGTCGGTTTGGCAGATATATGTTTTATCCTTGCACTTTTGTACTTTTAAAATGTGAATGTGCCCGGAAGGACGATAATATGGTAAACAATTCCGAAATTTGTTTTTTTATTCTCAAAAAAGGTGTAGTAGTTATTTTTAGAACGAGTTACCGCTTCAACAGTGTTTTGAAATATTTTCTTGGTTCTAGCACGCGAGTCACCTGCACATTGTATTTTGCTTTCTGTTTCTAGTTTTTGTATTTGACATCACCGGCTATGATTTAGCAGCGCTGTTCTATTCTGGCTTACGTAGCTGGGTACTTCGCCTCTGTGACTGTGAAAACACTGAAGTCCAAATACCGCAGAAAACATTTGGTTTTGGAGAAGACACTTCCCATGCGTGCACTGGTTCATCACCTGACAGATGCTTTAAATTAAGGGGGACTGTATGTTTCAGCACAACTGGTCGTCACTGTGATAATGCATGCTGAAGTTGTTGTGAACGAGCTTATGTCGGTCCCAGCACATCGCTCAGTTCTTGGGGTTACGTGATGGACGAAAAGTTGTCAGGGACCTGACATTAGCTACGCTGTCAGAGTTCGAAGAGTTTGACACTTCTGCAAGGGAGGCGCCATTTTTCTCAACAATGTCTGTGAATAGAAAAATGATACCTTAGGCAAGATGCGAGGTCTGCTTCAGCCAAAAAGTAACTGTCTGTTTTTGCAAAAAAGATAGCGTTGTTTTAAAAATAAAGTCGGAAGGAGCTGAGACATCTCTGTAGACCGACTTACTAAGACCCGAATCGGAGGCAAAAAGGAAGTTTTCTCAGAAGACGAAATATACATTTTGTCGCGTTCATGATTAGCCCCGAGAGCGAACACAAGCGTCGCTGCGGTCGCCGCGCCCTGATTGGGTGAGGTGTACCGTGACGTCAGGGGGAGGACTCCGCTCCGCGATCTCGCATCGGCTCGCTTCCCAACACCGGTTTCCTGGTTTGACGTTGTGTGCCGCAAGCTCTTCGAGGAGCTGGACTTGGTTTACCCGGTGTACAAGATGTTGAGTTAACACGATATTGACGTGCTCCCGTACATTTTATAAGCCCGCTTGTCCCTTTTGCCTTTAAAATTGGGTTACAAATCTCGAAAGCTATCGGTGGAGGCAGTTCCGCCGATGAACCTCCCCGTCCGTCCACACAACGCAAGGCAACCTTGCGAGGGGTCGGTGAAGCGGTGGCGCAAGTGTTTCCGACGCTGGAATTCTGTTCCTTGCATGTTCATGATTTAGGACGATATTACATCCCGCTTTCAAGGCATTTGAAGTAGCATTTATATCATGGGCCTTTGAGTGGTCGGCAAATTAGCTCGCGACCCCGACTCTGCGCTGCCACTTTGCGTGTGCTGGTTCGCAGATGTTTTAAAGGCCCTGCGTCTGATGATCTTGGACGTGCTCGTGGAACAGGGTTGTTTTACATAAATGTAGCTTCTTCGTGAATTAATTATATATTTTATACACGTATGTAGGCATATTAGAAGATGCACAATTACTGGAAATTAGTTTGAATGGTAGCAGCAAAAACGGCCGAATTGCCCCCAGTTGCCTGTATAATATGTACTGAACTGCCCAAATTATGCACAGCAATAGTGCCGTAATTTGGAATGTTTATACTTTTTCCTGACATTCTTTATTCCAGCCTTGGGTATTCGGAAAATACGCCGTTTAGTCTGAATGTCATTTCCAATTAAAAGAGACACTGCTGCAGGTCCCCAAAAGCTTCCTCAGCCTCCAATCTCCCTAAGATGGACTCTGACAACAGAGGAAAACAGGAGTAAACGCAAGCATTCGAACGTCTGTCCAGTGGTAGTTGCAGCGCTAGTAGCGGAAAATGTGGAGCCTATGAAGGGCGACAGTCTGCGTGAGAAAAGCTTCTGGTATTTTAGCTTCAGGGCAATTCGATTTAAGTAAAATTTCAATTTTAGGGCTTCAGGGGCTAATAACGAGCTAGACACCTTCGCTTACCTTTGTTATACATTACTTGAGAATTGATATAAACAAGTCCACAGATACCACCCGCGTAGTCCATTGAAATACTATCCGAATCCAGCAAAGGTCAAATGCGAGCAATGTTTTTTTGTTTTTACTTTGCCCCTACACTTGGGCTGTCTAACTTGTGATTCTCTCCCCATGGCCCAGACTGTATTTAGCATGCTGCTCGAGCAGCATGCAGCTTTTCTGCTTCGGCGATCTTGTTTAAAAACAGATACAAAAAAAAATAGTATACATAATTTGCCAATTCATTCAGACCATCAGCAGCATTTATTGTGCGAGATGTAAGTCAATGGTGATGCTTCTGCAATTGTGGTCATATTTCTTTATTTTCATATACCAGCTGTGATTCATGCGTTGCCTGCCCTGTCAAGCATGCTTGAAATGTTGGTTGAAGTTTCGCCTGTAGCTACAGGCCATACCTCAATAAAGGCACATATAGACATTTACACTTCCTACGAAAAACACGCCAAAAAATAATTAAATATAAACGAGCGCGCCGACAGCTAGCGTCGTCACAGCCTCCACAGGGCGAGCGGGGCGAGTCGGGGAAAAATTCTCTCCTCGCCGTGACGTCCCCCGGCTCGCCGTAAGGGGGCGCCACGCGAACTTCTCGGGGCTAATAGCCTTCTGACATGCAGTCAATCAGTCACGACTCACATTTGTTTCAAGTTTGCTTGTTTCGCTTTATTAAAACTACAATAATAATGCAATAAATGCAAAGGTGCAAGTGAGCTGGACAAGAATAAGGTTTATTTTGTCCTTTGTCCCCTTTGTCCAAGGATGAATATCGTCATTAAAACTACCTTTCTTTTAATAATACAATTGGCTCTTTAGTTAGCGAGCCGTCACTTATTTTCGTATATTTTACATACAAAGGTAGTCGTCTAACATGTGGCGGGAGGTAATTTTATCTTTCAGGAAACTACCTCGAAGGCGCTGGGCGTAAAATACTATTTCACATATGTTCTAGTTGCATGGCAAGCGTGGACGTCAAAATAATGTTTCAAATTAAAATATTTGTGACTGCAGAGCAGCGCTTTGCTTTTACAAATGAAATTAAGCTAAATAATTGTGGAAAGGGTGTAGTCGATAATATTTATCTAAGTGTTTTCAGTCGTCGTAAATTAATAGATGAACCGTAGAAGTTAGAGTTGTTATATGATCGTCTAATCTTAAAAAAAAATAACTAATTCGAATTATTACTGCCGTCGTCCCATAATAAAAATCATATATGTACAAGAAATTTGTACGTCCAATAAATGCATATGATTAAATAAGATCATATAAGAACATACCTATCGCTATCACACCAACATTCCAATCTTCTTTCCTTCCTTGCACATCCCTCGACTGGAATCACCTTCCCGGACCAATTGAATCCATAACTGACACCGTACTTTTTAGGTCTGCTCTTACCAATCAATTTATTGGTGAGTGTGAATAACTATACATTACGCTGGTTTTGATCCCAACGTTGCTCTTCCCCTCTTTAATGCCTTCGGGCCCAGAGGGTAAAGCAAATAAATAAATAAATAAATACAAGACCCTTGTAAGAACATATAAGGTTATATAAGAAGTTAAAGAAACTTCTTACCAGTTTCTTATAACTTGGTATATAACCTGATATATTGCTTACATTGTTCTTATAAGGTTCTTCCATGTTTTTATACGATCTTATTTGGTCATATGCGTTTATAGGACATAGTAATTTCTTATACATATAACACATTTTACTAGGGTCACGCAAGGATAAGTGACATCCATACAATATTTATCAAAACAACAAACACCCCCCCCCCCCCCCCCCCCCCCGCACCGGTTAGCGCGTCGGCACAGCGAAGCCCAGCGCCCAGCCGACTGTCGTTTTTTCGCTCGCTGGCCTAGCTACTGTGACGTCACAAAGCGGGCGTCCAGGCCTTAATTTCTAGAGGGTGTTGGGAAGACGGACGGCGCGAGAAGGGGAGGGCACCGGCGGACCGTAGCAGGACGGTGAAGGAAGGGACGAGAATAGAGGGCGAGATTGGGATCATCGCGCAAAGCTACGCTTTAAATACGCTTGGGGGTCGATACTCCACGTGTCGCTAAAATCTCGAACTAAAGCCGTGTCCCCGAAAATTGGTCTTGTGATGAAATAAAAGAGAAATAGCACGTCAAAGACTCGACCATGCGTTGTCCATCTGTCTGCCTTCTATATAAATGGCCATTACTGAACTCTTTTTCTAGATCATTGCCTATTTTATGGATATCTGAGTTGTGCTTAGTTTTTATCTCGGTCGAATTCGATTGCAGTCGACACTAAGATTAGGAGGGTGATGAAATGAACTAAAAATAAAGCGCCCTCTTACCCCAGAGGCAGACTGTGAAGGCAAAGAATGGTGTGAGGAACGTGTCGCCGGCAGCCTTGATGACGTCCACGGTGTAGATGATGGCGTTGACGTCCCTGAAACGACATACAACAACATTCGGGAATCGGTCGTACCATCAGTCGGGGTTTCGGGTCAGCCCTCGCTCTTCAAGCACATGTTTTACTAGCTAGGTTTTTTAAAAAAAAAATATTTCACACATTTGCGCTTGAATGTGGCCAAGTGTGTTACAACCGTTTGCGATTTCTTGCGACGACATAACACACTGGCGCTACCTATCGGGAAGGCGTGGAACCCTTCCAATCTGCGTCACAACCGGTCTAGAGCGGCCGTGTCTGCGTATACATTTTTTCTGCTTTTTACGCATCCGTTTTTTTTTTTTTTACCGCGGGCTTGAAATAAATTTGACGTATTAAGTTTCACAGTTTAGTGGTTAGATTTGATTTCGCATACTGCAACACCACCAGTCAAGTTATACGCAGAACGCGAGTGTTCCAGGGCGATCTAAGAGATGGCGTGAGTATGTCCTCTCGTCGGAAGCGCTTACAAGCAGCCATAATGCACTCGGTCCCATTCAAACGCAAGTGCACGAACCAGCCCTGAGGAACGACACGCAAAAATCAACACTGCAAAACCAAGTTTTCTTTTTTTTAGGCACTTACGTGTAATTGATGGCATTGGAGTCGTTTTTTAGAAGCAGATCCTTGTCGTTGCTCACCCTAAAAAAAAAAAAAAAGTCGTGAATGCTTAATTAGTTTTTTTTTTCGATTTCAGTTTCTACACTCTTGTTTTATTACGAGTGTGTAATCCTTATTAAAACGCCACACGCAATAACGGGGTATTGGTGCGTTAGGCTGTTAACAATGTAGTTTTGATATAAAAATACCCATCTAACTTAATCATCATTGTCTTCCTCGATACTAAAGCGAGCACTACCCTCATTGGGTGTTCCAAGGCTCATTGAGTAAAGGCCATAGCCCTTAGGTCGACAAAGGCTAATAGAGGCGCTAGAAGCTACGAGCGCATACCTCGTACCGCCCACTCAGCTTTTCGGTGAATGGAGTATTGACGCGGAACACTTGCACCGAAGGACCAAGCGACAGGCAAGTTTGAATTAAGGATACGAGTCAACAAATCAATACGCCTCATAGATCATTTTATTCTTCCCAAGTGCTCGGACCATTGTTAGCCGTGAACCTTAGGTGCCATGATGGTTCAGCGTCTCAAAAAATTCGCTCCGGATATCCTTTTTTTTTATTTGCCGTATGATTAAACGCATTTTTTCTTTCATTCATTTCCATCAAGAAACTTGCATCGCGTCACCTTCCGTCCCGAGTCTAGACTTCTCACAATTTTCTTCTGTTAAAGCGCAAACGTCTTCCGGGAAATGGGGGCCCCGTCACGTCAACGCGACCGCAAAACTCGAGGCTTGCATAAATACCTTGACTAAAGCTCGTTCATGTTTTATCGCGTTTGTATTACTACCTGTATTGGAGCTTTTTGTATCTCACCTGCCGCAGTGTGAAAATGTTGTACAGTATTCTACAGTGCACGGCACTGTTAGCGCGAACACAACATCGACGCTTCGCAGCATTTTGTTGAGACGGAATAGTGAAGGGCACCAAAATGTATCACTTAGTTGACTCCCCTCAATGATGACTTCAATTTCCGCCACACTTGATAGTTGATATAACCGCCATTTTATTTAAAAAAAGAAAAAAGAAAAAAAAAAAGAATCAGCAAGTACCGCGGCGATCGCTTCTTCGTACTAGCAGTGTCGCGCAGAGTGCATTGCTGGAGACCACAGTAATTGGTACTACGTACCATGATTGTGTCTTTAGAGACTCATCGCGGAGTTTAAACTCAGTTCGCAATAATCAGGAATTTTTCAGAAAACGAAAGTAGACTCGCTATACCTCCGAAGGTGCTGCGTAATGCACCGGCTACATCTACTGGCGAATCGGGTTTAAGAGCTTGAAGTTTCGTGAAGAAATCTCACTTCTCGATGACGCCGAAGAAAAAGACTCCGAGCCCGATGACCGCCGGCACGACAAGAGACGCGATGAAGGTCCCCACCCAGGCGAAGTAGAAGGATATCTTCTCTCCGAAGTAGTCCCTGATGCTGTCCAGCGGCTGGCCGCCCATCAGCTTGCGCCAGTGACTGTCCAGCGAGGTCCTCGTGTCCTTCACGGTCCGACCGGAACCGTAGTCTCTGTCCCTCTGCCGGTCGTCAAGGTGGTTCACGCTGTCGGTCACCTTGAGCGCGGACAGAGACTGCCCGGTGACGGTGCTGGTCGGTTCGCCCGGGACGTAGACCGGCTCCAGGACCGACCGGTCGTGCATCACGAAGGCGTCGAGGTACACGTTCTTCATGAGCAGGTACGAGAGACCTGGGCGAAGAAGTTTGCACGCGGGTTCCTTGAGCCTCGGTCGCACCATTACTACGTCGTGCGGAAGACAGTCTGCAAACACTGTCTAAGGCACGTTTCTTCCTTGCATGAAGGTCCTGGCACACTGGTTATATAAACACTGTATTCAGACATATGTAGGTAGCAAGTCGTCTGCTTCTTGGTCACGGGTTGCGGGGACGTCAGAACGATGCCGTGTTCTGATTGTCTTTGATTCAGAGGATAGTGGGCAGAGCTCAATGCTGGATGCCTTGAGGTCTACCCACTATTTTTTTTTTTTCAATCATCCAATAAGAGATCGGCGTTCTGACGTCATCACAACCACTGTGCAAGAAGCAGACAAACTTGCGCTGCGCATAGTCTGGTGAGGTTAATGTCCCTCGCACAAAGCCCTCCACATTTTCCACTTTAGCAGAGCGAAGGCTGGAAAGAAGGCTATAGTGGGAAGGAGAAAAACAACCAATATTGGCGGACAGAGTTTTTGTGGAAGGATCTCGTCCCGCTATTCTAAATCTGCAACAGACTACAGACGTAATATGTTTAGAAAGTTTGAGGTCTGTCTGCCGGAGCATGGTGACACCGGTTCACGCTAACATTAAGCTAGTGCAGTACGACTTTTAGACCGGCCCCTTTTAACATGCATCTCACGGCCACGCGCCGGATCTTCTCGATGTCGGTCTAAACCCTAAATTGTACTATTTCGTCCGTGGTCATGATTGCGTTGAAGATGGACCGGCGAACATCGGGTCATTGATTAGACAAACATCTTATAAAATGTGGGCCGTAGTCGATAGTACGACCGTTAAAATTGGACCGTATCACCGTACATAATATGGCCGTCATAAATCGTTCATGTGCACGATTTATGATAAGATCATTCAACTGCAAACCAGAAACCGGGATCAATAAAATAACGACACTTGTGTTTCATTTTTAACTACTGGTCTTATGGCGGTAAGAAAGATGAAGCATGGGTCAATGTTCGTATTGCGATTTCTCTCGATCGGAAACACCCAGATGCCATTAGCTAAGATTGAGCCGTAGATTATACGGGAAACTATTAATAATGTCCACGAACTTTGAGTTTCTAATGGGAGTCATCAGTTACGGTTTATGGAGACTGACCTTTTTTCCGATGGAATTCCACGGGGTTTTCATTTTCACTTTTGGCAATGTCTATGTTGGTTAGGACGTGATGAGTCTGAAACGTGGGAATCAAAGACCGGAATCGATGCGAGGAAGCGACACACACACACAGACACACACAAACACACACACAACCACACACACACACAAGCCATTTCACACATATGCCATTTCTCGTGGATCATAGACTGCAGCCTCACGTCACTGACGAAACGAGAACGGCAGGGAAGCTCTTTGGTTGTCTCGTCCCCAGCGCGAGCTTCGAAGATGCTCATTCGGCGTCTCGTGAACCTCGAGCGTGCATGCGCAACCGAAGTACGGCCATAGCATCCTATATACCGACAAAGGCTGGCAGATCGCCACGAGAAGCGGCCGCGGAAATGGGAAAGTTGGAGCGACAGACAACGGATGAGAGGAGAGCCACGTGACTGGCGCCCCGCTGCGGCGAGACGCCGAAACACACTTCTCCTGAGCGAACGAGTCTGTTTCGGCTCCTTGCCGCAGCAAAAGTTGTGCGCTGACGTACAGGTTCCACGAGAAATGGCTCTATGACGCTCTCTGCTACCAGATCCTCGCGCTCCACATCTGCGACCGGGCACTCGAGGGCTTCGTAGTCGAACTGCCAGGCTTTGTGAGTATAGAGGAGGCTATGGTAGAAATAAAAACCGCCAGTATTGCGTCTACCCAGAATCATTCCGCTTAGAATTCGGCATTCTTGCGTCCTCTCACTTTTGCGCCGAAACGAAGGTAGGCAAACGGAGGCAAGCATAAATCAATCTCCGAATAGAGCTGAAAGTATAGTTTTTCGAGAAATATTTTTGTATAGCTCTTTGCTTGCATATTTCGACAGCTAGCCTCTCAGTCGTGTGATTCACCGCCATATTTGAAGATTTTATTTGTTGTGTATTCGGCCCAAACAAAGCGCGATGCTTGCCAAAAATTGTAAGAAGTATGTAAAAAATGGACCCTCCAGAATTCCCCAGAGTGGCAAACGACGTTTCGCTTTAGTTGTAAGTTCCAATAAAAAACAAGCTTTTTTTTTATTTTTTTATTTAGTTAAGAGTGTTTTTGTGGCGGATTTGGTCGGCGCGGTTTGACAGGTTCAGCGAAGCTTCGAACTTCTGACCAAAGTCGACGAAGGTTCAGTTTTGAACCGCGTTTCCCAACGGCTAAACAATTGTTTCAAATAAATAACGAGAGTTTATATAGTGGTTTATTTTCTATTTCATGGGATACAAAACCAAACTCAAACTTTTAATTAGTTTCTTGATGTGGGACTAAACACCCGGTAAACATTGCACCCCTCCTTCGCTAGGTGCCGTCAGCTATAGTTTTTAATTCCTCCGCATGCACATAATAGTCAAACCACTCAGTCGAACCTTTCTCGAACTTCGTGGTTATAGCATAGAGTAATATAGTACACGTAAAAAGTGGACACTAAGAGCCTTTCGCGGCTGAGATAAGTGCTCCATGGAGAGACATACTATAGTAATTTACTCCATTACTTGTAGCATTGCCTCTGCCGACCGTTAGATATCGCTGCTAGGAAAATAAATTACATTTTGAGATCCTTGCTAATAATTTGTTCACAGAAACTTGCATTAATAAACGTAGTGTAGTATTATTTACAGAAATATCGGAAGCACTTAAATTATTCAACGTTACATCATTACTGTCGTAGTAGCGGCAGCCCCAGTGTCACGGACATCACCGTTTAGCTGCGGCATGTGGGGGCGCGTCTCAAGCTCAACAACATTGTGGCATCGTTCCTGGGCCATGTAGGGTATGCAAATACTACTTTGGAGTGCTTTTTTTTATTTTCAACGGCAAGGTTGGTTCGTTCAAGGAGTGCAGGGAAGACAAAGAATTTTTTTTTGTCTACACTGCACTGGTCGAAGGGGTTCAAATGCAAACGCCAGACGCCGGCGATCCGCGATGGAACGTGTTCGGCGAGCTTTATGTCTACCCCCTAATTCAACCATTCAGAGCTCGGCGTTGTTATGTCCCCGCGTGCTCACGTCTCTTCCTCTACCTCAATTTCTTGGCGCACAGCTCTACGTTTTTTTTTTTTGTCTGTTGCATTGTATTTTGTTTATTTCTGTTGTGTATTTATTTATTAGTTATGAACTGGCATGAAAAATATGGTAATCATTAAAGGGCGCTTTTAGATGACTGCAGGTACGGCGTGGCTTTGTGTCCATGGTGGCTTCCTGTAGTTTGTTTGATGACACCAACCGTAGATGATACGTACTTAAGATGTGTTGGTGCTACTGCGAATAGTTGAATATTATTGGTTTGTTGACATTTAGACCAAAAGTGGTTTGTCACTCACTCTTCTAAATTGCGTGATCTTCCGTTTTGCAACGCTGGGCTCTAATTATGCTTCAAGTATAGAAGTTCCTGTCTTTACGGTTGTAGTAAGGTGCTAGAGCGTATAGTCGTGCTTTTTTGTGTTCAATTTTGTCGCCAAGCAGATTATCCTGTACAAAACAGTTCATGTTGGTCTTTTTTGCATACAAAAATAAGTTCCATATAGGAATGTAGATTTCCAAGCCCTGTCATTTACTGAGTGGTTATAACTGTGATGGCCATGGGAATGTTCACTCTTTACGTTTACTATATTACTCTATGGTTATAGTCCCAAACACTTGAACCTCTGCAAGTTGGCTTGGCTAGTTTTACGACGTGGGTTCGGTGAGAGGCCTTGGCGAAACGTCATTGCATCATTGAGGCTTTTGGTGAGTGGTTCAAGGCAGAATATGGTCTATTATTCGAATTCAATGAAAAAAACCATTATGAATAGAACCGCCATGAAGGAGCGTCACGAAGTAGCGTCCCGTGACCCAGCTCCGAGGCGTCGTGTGACGTCACAGTCATGTGCGTTCCGCCGCGCTTTGGTTGCGTGCTCGCGCGAGGTGCACAAAACGCCGAAGAATTGTCGAAGCCAGAAAGCTCGCGCTGAAGACGTGGCAACTGAAGCTCCTCCCTACCATTCTCACCTTCTCAGTAACTACTGTCGAGACCGGTTATAACGAAGTCAACGGGAATTGGAAATCACTTCGCTACATCCGCTGTTTCGTTATAACCGACTTCGTTTATAACGAAGTCAGCGGGAATCGGAAATCATTTCGCTATATCCGCTATTTCGTTATAACCGACTTCGTTTACAACGAAGTGCAAAAGGAACTGGGAAATCGTGATTGCTTCGATATATACGCTATTTAGTTATAACTGACTTCGTTATAACCGTTTATAAAACAAAATTGTTTTTTTTTTTTTTGTTTTCAAAACCGGCCTCGGTATTTTTTTGTTGTTTTGTTTTTTGTCTCTCTTTCTGACGGCGGACAATGACATTACACAGAAATGCACTTTGACCGAACCTTTCCGTCAACATCACGTTCCCCATGCGTCGTTCGTTCGAAGCACTTGCAGACTCCATCAACGGATGTCCTTCGCGCAAAGCTCGTTCTACGCATGCGACGTAATAAGCCTCGGAACGCGAGCCCCGTCGTTAGCTCCGAAATGACAGGGGACGGGGCAGATGCAAAAGCGTCGCGAGTAACGATCGCTGGTGCCTCAACAAAAGGGGCACCTTCCGGGTGCGAAATTATGACCACGCATCGGTTATTCTTAAATAGCGAAAAAAAAAAAAAAGAATCTGAGTGTGCGTTTGAGTGGAAGAGTGCGTGTTGCTACGGTATACACAGAATCGATAAAAAAAAAGGATTGTTCACAAAAGAAGAAAAAAAGTAACCTTCGCTATTTTTGGTGGGGTCTTGCAATAGTTCATGAGAACGTCACCATCTGTTTTTGGAAACGCTAATGGCAATATGCGTTCGCGTGTTGTTGTTGTTCTTATGTTTGTGTTATTTGTGTATTGTTTGTGTGTAATTAAATCAGGCACGTGAGTAGGTGCGTCACTCGCGAACGTTGGTCGGTTTACGCGTGTTGCCAAATGTTCATCATCTACAATAGAGGGGGGAAAAGGCGCGCAAGAAACATTGACAACTTAAAAGAGGTGCATACCGGGACGCGCATGTGACAAAAGATGTGCACACGGGACAAGCGCTTGTCCTTTGCGACTTGTTTTACTTTGCCCGGTTTATTTCTTTTTGCGCGTTGTTTGCTTTCTGTTGTCATTATGAACTAACTAGCCTACATCGTAACCCTAGTTCATTGTCTACGACCCATTTGAATCCCTCAAAAATAGGGATTTTAAACTACAATCCCTCTTGGCTTCTCGTGACGTCATATAGGATGCAAGTTTGCGATGCGGGCGACCTTACCGTATGGCTATTTTGGCCTTCCTTATATGCCGAATTGGACATGTATATGAAGCATATAGTGTCATACGTCGCTAAAGGTCTCCGTATATGGCGATGTAAATGCCGTATAAGATATCAGCCATACGTATATCATGTGTCATATATAGGATAGGCGCTGCATAATACATAAGGTTTGTCGATATAATCGCCTTATAAGTACGCTGCAAATGCCTCGAGTGCGTGAAGACGCGTTGATGCTGCTACATCTATATGTCTGAAGGCTGAACGTCATCCGTTGGCTTCGTCGTGCACTACTACGCCTTAGCCCGGACCGAGGAGTGACAATATCGATCGCGACTTTCCATTCGCTGAATATAGCACACGAGGGAGGGAAAAAGGGGTCCAGAAATACGCACTGGACAGCCAGATTTAGATCGTCGTTTCATTGTCTTCGATGGCCGTGACTTTAAATGCTAACAATCAGCCTCCTTTTGCGAATGTCGCTCTTGTAAATCAGTCTTTATAAATATTAAGAGGTGCAGGTTTATGGCGCATATAAACCGCGTTGAGCGAACATTAATTTTAAATTCTGCGACATACTGTATCGACTTTTGCCGCTTCTATCGAATTTACTTGTATTTTGCGTTGTTTGTTATCTCATTTTTGGTTTCATCGTGGGATTTATTCGGGTCACCTCAATGATTTATACATGGCGGTTTTAGAATGACCGCCATCGTTTAAAAATCATCGTAGTTGCGTACTTCAAGTATTTCACCATCATATAATACTACATTAGCTCGCCGTAAGTTCTTGTTTTTGCTTTTTTTTTTTTATCTCTCAGCTTGTGTTTTTTTTTTTTTTTTTCAACTGTAGAGAGTTTTTGGTAGATCGGTTCGATACTGCCGATACCCCCGATAACGATACCCGAGAACGATACGATCCATGAGCAAAGGCGACGGCTGAGTATCGGGTGTCGTTATCGGCGTCATCGGAACGATCTACTAAAACACTCTGTCGATAGCGCGCGCACATGACGCGTTTTCGGAATACCCAGACTTTACTCCTTCGGGCACGATATTTATTAACCTCCGTATTCAAGATAGCTATTGAGAAAACGGCCTACAGAGGTGATGTAAAAACCGAAATTCGAATGTTTTGCCACTCTTCAGTGTGGCGACGTCACATATGTTGTATGAGGTGCAAGTCGAGGAGGCAGTCTATAAAAACAGACGGTAATTCGCGCAGGATTTATTTATTTTTCTTTCGTTTTCCTGACGTGAGAGTAAACATAATTCATTTCACACCGTCGAAGTTCTTTGTAACCCTTAGGCAACAAGCTCTAGTGGCCCCATATTTTTCCTTTTTACGACGTCTGACGTCATGTTTTCACTGTTGCCAATAGAGCATACTATTCTCTCAGACCAAATTTAAAACTTCAATATCCTCGCCAAAAAAAAAAAAAGTACTGTGGCTTGCAACTGGGGGTACTGGTTCATATGTGGCTATTAATGTGTCGAACCAATCAATCTTGAGGCAAACCAGTAACTATCAAAAATTCGCGCCTTTAGCAATGGAAACAGAAAATACGGGGGAAAATGCTGGAAGTGACGACAATTCAAGATGGCGGCGCCCTTGCGAAAAAGGTCTATAAGACCCTTTCTTCAAGGGCGCCGCCATCTTGAATTGACGTCACTTCCAGTATGGGCGAAAACATTGTTTTGCCTTTGCCACGCCAATGGAAGGCATTTATGATAGAAGCGTAAACGTCACACTTTGTCGTTTTGCCTCCCCTTTATTTTTTTTTTACAATTTGCAGGTTGAAACGTTGGATTATTTTTTCGTCGCCCATACCGGATACGCCTATTAGTTGGCTGGAGACGAGAGTACACAGAAAAGGTCATGCCCCGAATGGAGGACATTTTCTACGTATTTCGGGAAGCCTCCTTTTCTCAGGTAATCTTGTAGAGACCGGATTATTTCCTAATCCCCGGAGGACTGCAATCCGGTGCCTCAGGGGAAGAAAAGTTGACGATGTCAGGCAGTCGTGCAGTGCAGTGACAAAGTGGTTGCGACGAAATGATGGCGTGACCTTACCAGGAGGCAGCGTAGCGCTGACCGGAAGTAGCTTGCTTTGTCCCTCACGCCGATAAACCAGTCCATACACTTGCACTGGAACGGCGCGCTGAGCGTTCGAGCTGTGAAAGAAAAAAACATAGCTTTAGCCAGGCTAGAAAAAAAAAAAAAAAGCAGTCATAATTTTTTATTAAATAAATCAAAGCTTTTTGTTTAATTTATACTTATTTGGTTTATTGCCTATTTATTTCATTTTATTCATATTTATTTAATTTAAATCCGGGTAGCTAGAAGGTTGTGACCCTTTAGCTTTATACTCGTTTTCACTCTCAAGAAGGAAACGACTTTTGCGCATTGTTCGAACGCCGCGTGAAGTAGTGCCTCCAAGATTTGGTTGTCGGAGGAAGGAAGCGATGCTTCTGGCGTTGGAAGCGTGCACGTTTTGATAACATAACGTATATCTACCCTATCTCGACACGTAAAGGAGGAAAGTAGTAAAGCCCGCAAAAAAAATCAAACTTCCTTTTTTTTTTTTTTACTACTGGTTTTGAGGTGAAAACGAGTGTAGATGTATTTTTCAACGTGGCAGGTTGATTAATCAATTCGTCTGATCACTGACGACAAGGCGGAAGGAACAAGTACTGTAATTGGGAAAAACAGATTAATTTAGATTGTTTTGCTGTCATCCTCGCCATACTTTAACAAAAACAGCTTAATGTTTTCAGTAAGTTAAAAAGAAAACTATATTTGATTTGGCTTTCGAGTTATCACTTGATTGGAATAGAGCATTATACTTTTCTAACTTTTGTTTCTTTTGCGTCCTAATTTTGTTGCAATAGGACGTCGCTTAGCTGATGAACGAAGTAGAGGGTAGGAATTAAACTCAACGCTTCGACTTGCTCAAAGGAGAATTTCTTTTTGCTCGTGTTCAGCCTTATCTAAATCCTTCTCGCTTGATGATTTGTTTTATTTAAATACCCAACTAATCCCCGTACGAAGCAAAAACATCAAACAATAAACAAGCGGGAAAAAATATTGATGGCTAATTTTGCTGCAAAGGTTTCATTGAAATCACCATGGTAAAAGCAGTATGATTTATATTATGATTTAACGATTTCTATTATGTTCATTTTTATTCTCCACCCTGACTTGAGCCAAATTTTGCACCGAAATGCGTATTCTTAGGTGAACTTTCGCTTTCGAAGAGAATGAAACAGAGGTACTCTGTTCCGTCCTAGCTAGAGGAACGTCTATACACATAGTCTCTGTCAGCTTAAAAATCTCGTTCAGCTCATTATCGGTCCAAAGCCAATTAGATTGCGGCATTCGCCGATAATACGCGCCAACGAGCCAATCAGGAAGCGAGAAATTTGAACATAACAATTGCCTCGCCCTGTGTTGCTCAATGTGTCAGTGTGACTATATAGTTTACCAGAACCGTAAAACTTGAGCCGTTTTATGGGACTATATTTTGCACTTAATGATTCTGCAGTACTTAGTGCGTATTTATTGAAATTTATGTCTAAGAGGAGCTTGATCGACGGCACTTTCTGTTTGGATAATTGGGTCAGCGTGGCTTTGCGCAACTTATGCACTTATATCTTTAATCATAATATTATTTAGCTGTAGGAAAAGGTGTGGACTTCTATCAATTTATATTGTGATATTGGGGTCCTCTTTCTTAGACTTGTATATGAAGCGCCGTTGCTTGGGTTAAATACGCAACGTTTGCGGTTTCGTACGGCTAACCCTGCATCAGAGTACAGGCCAGAGAATTTTCATCGTAAATTAATTCGCACCTTTGTGGAAATCACGGGGGCGATTCTTCGCGCCCCCAGCGTATTTTTTTATCGATACCATACATCGTTTAATTTTCTGCACTTCCGAACGGCTACAGCCTTTTCCCTATTGCAAACCTGTCTATAAGGCCCACCAGGACTTCTGAAAGGTCTCGTCGTACGTGCCCTTTAACAATTGTTTAAAGGTCTAAGATGTCCGTCGATGTGTTCTAAGGGGCCTGCGTATACCATTCAAAAATTTCTGAGAAAAAGAAAAAAACCCGTCCTAGTTTTTTTTTTTTTAGAGATACTGGTGGGATTTTTCGCAATCTTTTTCGGGAAAGCAAGTGTCCCATCAAAATTGTTTTAACGGGTCTGCTGGAGAAATCACGTGACCCTTCAGGATAAATGCGTCGGAAAAGAGTATGAACATCCTTTCCTGGTTACGCGGTAATCTGAGCGCCTCGTACCTGAGGCGTCGTTTTTTCCCCCCAATTTCAGTTCTGATAAATACTTCAGTCTTCCGCCTGACTCCGGCATGAACAGTTCTCCATGTGCACCTTTACGTACGGCTAATAACGTCACAAACATAATGTATCGTGCTATTTTATTATGCTCTGCCTTCGTGAAATCTTCTTTCCAATAATTAATTACACTCTGCTAGAGTTACCGGCGGGGCATCACAATGAGACCAAGTCAGTTGAGACCAAAGCGGGCGCAGTGTCGCCCTTCGTCGGGTATATGTTCCGTTTAATCACTCAACAGACGCGTTTCTAGCGCTATGGCGCGAGATGGTGAAAGAGACCCCAGTTGGCCATCTTCTATCTTTGCTACGTTTCACTACAGCTGCCGTATACTGCAGGGAACCAGAACTAAAAGTAGTGGAAAGAAGGCGTGGACGGTGCCCCATCGGCCGTGTGAAGCAAGGGTACCAAGAGTGTTCAAAGCCGCGCGTGGTGCTGGTGTCGAACACCCTCGCGACCACCGCCAGGGTATTATTTCCGGCTTCTGGTTGGCCAGATTCGAATTTTTGAAGACGCCCTGGAACACGCCCAGCCCGCTTTCGGCCAATGGCGCCTCCTCATTTGTCTCCTATATACTTCCCCACGAATGGCCAAACTCTGGGTTCCGGTGGCTCGCAGCGCCCCTTACGGTATATCTTGAGGTGAAATGAAGTATAGGCAACGCAGCTGGAATAAGAAACAACCGCCTTTCTGAGTTTGAAAAAAGCCATCTAAAATACATATAGACTATATACTCACAATGAACCCCCATGTCAAACATGGCTGCCACTTTCTCGTGAATCCATTGCTGCTCTTCGTCTTCTTCGTTGTCTTCTATGAGCAGCTGATGTCGAAAAATAGGAGGAGAAAGAAACAAGCAAACGAGTAAAATACTACTGTAATAAAACATCATCGTATTCATGTGAATAAACGTGTAAAATGTATACGCAAACTGGTCGAAACCGTGCGCAACGACCGAAGCGTCTCATTGGCGGTGATCTGCCGATCAATCCTCTCTGAACTGGCTGCTCTTCATAGTAACGACACTTCAGCCATGGATGGATGGACGGATGGATGCTAATGGCTGTACCCTTTATAGCGAGCGGTAGCTTGCGCCACCTATCTAGGTGCTTGAAAAAAATAGTTGCCAGTTATGAGAAGCGTTACCTAGTGCCACTAAATAAGCTACGCTTCAGAGTAACGACACTTGGCCATATTGTGTCTTAAAATCATGGTTCCCAGTTATCTGAAGCTCTATCTGAAATGACAGGAAACGCTTTTCCGCCGTGAGCAAATGTTTAAACAGCTCACAGCAGAGCAAAGCAATATTACATGAACTTTCTAACACCGAATCTAATGCGGAGGTAGTCGCACTTTTGAATCATGACGATCGGCAGTTGCGTCTGCTCTGCCTACGAGCCAAAATGGCGGCGCCCACAACAATGTTGGGGAACGGAGTGCCGATACTCTAAGCGCAGCTCATTTAGTGGCTCTAGCGTTACCTGAAATCGCAGAAACCGATTTTTCGTCTTTGAGACACGTTATAGAACAGCCCGCGACAAAACGAAACTATGTCGCCCGTGCCGCCTGAGAAGAAATTAAGCGAAAGGAAGAGACGGGAGGGCGCGCGGATGTCAGAACACCGAGCTCTGGTTGGAACTAGAGCCACTAAATGAGCTGCGCTTAGAGTATCGGCACTCCGTTCCCCGACATTGTTGTGGGCGCCGCCATTTTGGCTCGTATGCAGAGCAGACACAACTGCCGATCGTCCTGATTCATAAGGGAGGCTTCCTCAGCATTAGAGTTGGTGTTAGGAAGGTCATCTAAGATTGCTTTGCTCTGTCGCGAACTGTTTAAACATTTGTAGAGGGCGGAGAAGCGTTTCCTGTGATTTCTGATAAAGCTTCAGATAACTGGCAACCATGATTTTAAGACACAATATGGCGAAGTGTCGTTACTCTGAAGCGTAGCTTATTTAGCGGCACTAGTTGGAACGACTAGTGGATAAAGACCAGCGTCTGCTCTGGTACACGGGCGCCGCCATGTTTGCTTATGCTGACGTCATGACACAGACGGGGGCTGCGCTTTTTGCGAAACTCAGTTTTCTTTTCTTTTGTTTAGAAATATTCGGACATATTGTAGTGCAAGAATGTCAGAAATGCACTGTCACGTAGCTCCAAGGACAACACCGATGCCAAGAGTGCTGTAAAGAGCAAAAATCTTGTTTTATGCGCAGCCTCTCTCTTCACAGGAGCCTGCGTTTGAGATTATCATTTCCCATTCTTATCGTGTGACCGGGAGGGAGGCGGGGAGGGGGTTCCAAGCTTCCCTCCCGGTCACACGAGCACTTCCCCAAAAAGGGAAATTGAACGAGTTTTAAATCGAAAGACAGGTTGCGGTTTGGACGTCTTGTCTTACTGCTACCTTACGTACAGTTGGACTGCTTTTGACTCGGATAGATTAAAAGTAGTTCGCGTTTCGTTTATTGCTCTAGACAAAAGTTTGCCCCCCCCCCCCCTCCCCCCCCACCCCCCACCCCCGCTCTTAAAAGCTTCGTGGTTTTCTTTGCGGCTCTTAGACCGGGTTAGCCTGGCCACCCCGGCGAGTCTAAGTGTAAAACCTGATTTGAATGGCTCTAAGTCAATCCAGGAAAGAACGTTTTCGCTGACTGACCCGCCCCGGATTGTCTCGTTTTCAAGTATTTCATCGATCCAACCATTTTGTTTTGTATGACCAATGTGACGGAAGCACTACGCAAGGAACAGACACGCCTCAGAATGCAGGGACTTTGAGCAAACCGTCTTTTACACATCCGGCACGGTATGACGGGTCCTCCGCTACGAACTGCGCATGCGCTAGGGCAGAAAACTCGCACATGCGCAGTTCGTACCGGTGGGCCCATAGAACCCTATCGGATGTGCAGAAACGGTTCCCTAAAACTCTCGAGTGTGTCTGCAGGCTGCCCTTTCTCGGATGTAGTAACGGTGTGACCGGGGCTTTACGGTGAGACGGACTGTGCGGAGCGCAAGTTCGTCTGCTACATGAACGCCGAGCCAGAATGTCGAGCTCTTATTGCCTGATTAAAAAAAATATATATATATTATCAGGTAGACCTCAAGGAATCTAGCATCGAGGTCTACCCACTATCTTTTCAATCAGAGCTCGGCGTTGTTTTGACGTCAGCGCAACTCTTGCACAAGAAGCAGACGACTTGGTCTCAGGGCGCCGCCATCTTGCCCAGTGGGGTGCGCTTGGGTACGGTCATAATCCGATTATTACGCCTTAGCAAGGCTTCCTAATCTGATAACGACGCGTCCAAGCGCACCCCAGCCAGCAAGATGGCAGCGCCCTGAAGCCGGACTTGCAAACGTGTATAACACGTTTGCAAGTCCGGCTTCAGGGCGCTGCTATCTTGCTGGCTGGGGTGCGCTTGGACGCGTCTTTATCCGATTAGGAAGCCTTGCTAAGGCGTAATAATCGGATTATGACCGTACCCAAGCGCACCCCACTGGGCAAGATGGCGGCGCCCTGAGACCGGACTTGCAAACGTGTTCACGTTCAGGTAAATCAAGACGTGAGCAGTCTGAAAAACAAGCCTGTTGCGTAAGTCAAGATGCGGACTGTGGTTTCTACGGACCACGGCAGAAAGAAAACAAATAAAATGGTTGGGACAAAAAGACGGAGAAGGGGAGATATTGAGAGAGGGAGAGCGAGAGAGAAGGTTGCGCATGTCGCTACGCTGTGACACTGCGGCGCGGCGGCATTTGGGGGATGCGCCTATTGACCCGCATTTGAAACACATCGATTCGATGCTGTTTTTGGAAGACGACTTCCTCGCCATGTTAGATTGACAATCGGGAAGGCAACCTTGGCACGAAAAGTGCTGCTATGAATATTTTAAAAAAAGAAAAAAAAATCTTTTTTTTTTTTTTTGGCGAGAAAGGGGGTAGGGGGGTTTGAACTTCTTGAAAACGCGGGTCGATGCGTGGTTTGCTGTTTGTGATTTCCGCCGTGCGTTCATGACAGTCGCGGTCGTTTGTCACGCTGCGTGACGTCACACTTCGGGACTCGGGGCATCGGACATAACACTCCGAGGTAGGCCGTAGCTTTTATCTGGGAGGTGGCGCCTGTACACGTCCTAGATAAAAGAAAGCCCAAGTGCTGAATTTTTCCCGTGTCACTAAAAGAGGCCGCCGGATTGGACACGAGTGCGGCGTCAGCGTTCTTCTGAGACTCGTGTTCTTACGTATTGGACACGAGTTCCTTCCGAACGCTGACGCGGCACTCGTGTTCAATCTTTACGGTGGCCACTTTTAGCGACACAGGCAAATTCAGCACTCATGTTTTCCTAGAAATAAAAGCGCGTTTGAGAAGCAAAAAAAAAAAAAAAAAAACCTTTGGAATGTAGCACGCCGCTTCTTGCAGTGTGACTCAGGAACTTCCTAAGCTCTGTCCAAAATTTGCTTCCCGTTGGCTTGCCCTCCCCTCTCCCCGCCCCCCCGCCTAAGAAGTCTCTCCCCTCATTTTAGCCCCACGTCACCGTTGATTTGAGAATGGCGCTCCAACTGGGACATATTTTTGTGTGCGTTTCATTTCGCATGCTGTACATGACACTCCCAACCTGACATGGAGCAAAGGCGGTTCACGCACTTGCGTCTGGTTACGACCGAGTGCGTTGCGACCTCTTGTAATCTCTTACGGCAAAAGAACACGATGACGCATTTCTATCGGGTGGCCGTAGGACACTCGCGATTTCCGTATAAATCCCAGTTGCTTCACTATTGGCTCGAGAAAGCTTTAATCAGTATTATACACGGTCACTTCTCATAGATACTATACACTCGCAAATACTGAAAAATCTTCGCTCTACGGAAATGCATTTCCAGGGCCACCTCACAGATGGCGCCAGCGTGTCGGTGTGCTCTCTCGTTGTAAGACGTCGCCAGAGGGCGTAATGGACTCGGTCCTAATCAGTTGCATTCGTTCAAAAGGCGTTTATTGGCCATAAGATGGGGGAGCGGGAGATGGAGCGCGTCGGTGACGAAGAGGAGAGATATTATATGAAGATCTCTAACTTGGCCTCTTTCTTGGTCGTGCTCGGATCCAGAAGGGTGCGTTCTCACCTTTCCAGAGAGCTGACATCTGGGGGTTGGTTGCTAGTGCGTGAACTAGCGCAGAAATGCTCGTAATGGATGTCGTGTTGCACCAGTGCAGTGATGTACACTCACGCCATCTAGGGGCAGGTCCAGGCGCACGTTTTCCGCCTCCTGGCAGAGCCTCTGGAACGGGCAGTGGACCTTGAGGAACACGTAGTCGCCGATGAACTCCTGGTCGAGCAGCAGACCCTCGGCCCTCATGGCCGACTCGTATAGTTCCCGGTAGTGCCGGTTCAGCTCCAGCTCGCCCGAGTAGTGGCCGTCGAGGTCGTCGCACTCGTACACCAGCACGTAGTCCACTTCCCTGCAGAACGGGAAACGTAAACGCACTGTAATGATGGAGTGAAGTTAACGGAACTATACGGTTGCCTGGAAAGCGTCTCCGACTGGTGCGTTTAGCGACCTGTTTCCGGACCGTGCACCGAAAGTGGTTCCGAAGCGGAAACAATTAAGGACGTCACAAAAAGCGGAGTGTCAAGATGTCTGATGTCGCGATACTGGCGATTGCCCGTAGGAGATCCGGCAAAAAAGCGCGAGCAAACGGGGAGCGTCGCTGTCGTCGCGGCGTCCCAACTGCCGACTGCCGAAGCTTCCGTGGACTGTCGCACTAGAGAGCGACCTGCAGCAGAACGGGCGTCTGCTACACCCACAACCGCTGCTGGGACGCCGCCAGGATCGCGGCCGGCGACAGCATGACGCCTCTATGACGTCATCAGGCGGAAATAAAGGGTCCATTTTTTTTTGGACGCGGTTGTACACAACAGTCGGAGACGCGTTTCATGGCACCATAATTGCAGGGAGCGATTTTCTGTGTCCGAGGAATCTTAAAACGGTTCGTGACAAAGCAAAGCGATATGGTGCCTTAGCTTCCTCATTCTGCACACTATACTGCACCCAGCGTTAGCGGAAACAGGTAATTGCGTTACCGGTAGCGCGTTACTTTTTTTACAGCGGAGCTGTTAAGGGCTAGGTTCCCCAGGATCGTGTCCGTGTATGCCGACACAAACCTACCTGGACAACTACCGCCATCTATAAGCGACGGCGGCAAGCACACAACCAGTATGGTTTCCGACGTCGCTCGTAGATGGAGGCAACCTTTCCAGCTATAATAGAAGAATGAATAGTTGGGCGCGTTGGTGGAAATTCATCGTAGGAAACTGCGCGAAAAACAGACGACGACGAAAAAGAAGCCAACAGTGTATCGAGTACAGCTCCGCTGGTCTTCCTTCTTTTTCAGTAGCGCATAACGTACTGGTTACATTTTTCGAAACAGTAACGGTTAACGTACTCACGTTACGAATAACGTGTAAGGTAGTTACGTTACTCGTGACGTCATCTTCCCAAGACTTAAAAAATTCCCCTTCAATTTTTTTTTCGTGTTTAAAGTACCAAGTTACGTGAATTTTTAGTTGTTTTTTTTGCGTTAGTCTTTGCGTATTTTTTTTCTTTTTTGAGTATTTAAGTGAAATTGTAAAAAAAGAAGAATTATGTTCAGATCCTGCATGTACGGCAGTTATGCACACCTGAAACGTCAAAACAGTAAAACGTGTTCATCCATAATTAAAAGTAACGCAAAAGTAACGTTCGTTACTCCCTCGCGGTAACGTGTACGTTTTATTTCTATAATGTAGGACACTAACGGCGTTCCTTTTATTTGCAGGTAACTTTTTTTCCGGTAACGGCTACAACACTGACTACACCTAAAGCTCAAAAAGTCGCACCGAAATAGGAGCGCCAACTCCCCCCCCCCCCTTCTCCCCCCCCCCTTCTCCCCCCCCCCCCCCCCCCCCCCAAAAAAAAAAGAAAGAAACGGAATTGAGGGATGCTATTTTAGCATCCCTCCATATCTGTGCGCGCTACTGCTGAGCGCATGCTGACGGCTAATACACGACGAAACGTCGTGTATTCCTTTTTGGCCAACGTATTTTTTCGTGTAGCACAACCATATATTTGCGATTTCGTGTTTCAGTTCTTACGAAGCGTGCATTCCACACCATCAAGATTGCCGGTCTTAGCAGCCTATTAATCTGAGCTCGTTTTTTTATCATATTAGATGACCCTATTACTCTGAGACGTTCTCGTTTACCCCAAATCTTTTATCAAACATTAATTACAAGAACAAGTTATTTTAGAGATTTAACAAATCACAAAATCAAGATGATTTGACAAAGTTTAAATCTTATCGCAACCAGTTAACGAAGGAACTAAGAACAATCTTAGATCTTCAGCTGGACATGTTGATGTTACTTGGAAAAAAAGTTAATTCAATTAGACAAAATAATCAGAACCATGGCAGCATAGATTTATTGCATATTAACGGAGAAGATGTTAAAGATACTGCTTTAGCTAATGTATTTAATTATTACTTTGTAAATCTAGCTTGCGGGTATGTTAAATATAGAAACTTAAATTCAATATTCTTGAATCCCGTTAGCGATTCCGAGGTCTTTAATTAGTGTATTTGTGAACCTAAATAATACATGCGGTAGAGACGCGGATGCTGTTTGAATTAGACCCGTAAAATATGTATTAGACTGAGACGTGCGTTGTTTAACTCAAATATTTAACTTGTGTTTATCTGCAGGTATAGTTCAAAAACTTATGCAGATTGCCAAAGTTTCTGTACTGCATAAGAAAGTTGATAAGAATGGCGTTAATAACCATAGACCTGTTTCAATACTTGCCGTGTTTTCAAAAGGGGTTGAAAAAATTGTTCATGTAAGATTGTCAAATCGTTTCGACAAGTATCAACTCATTACAAGGTCGCAGTTTGGATTTCAAAAACATCGTTCTACGGAACTTGCATTACTCGAAGAAAAAGAATTTATCTTACGCAATTTAGAGGATAAAGGGCTTGTTTTGGGAGCTTGTATTGATTTTACTACAGCGTTCGATTATTTAAACCACGAATTATAATTACAAAAAACTTCAATATTATGCTGTTCGTGGGCAAGCCTTGCATCTACTACGGTCCTATCCCGATAACCGAAAACAATGTGTGTTGCGTTAACTTTTGTTCTAATATAAAACCAATTTTCTCACGGGTACCACAAGGGGGTATTTTAAGGTCATTTCTTTTTAACGTTTATGTAAATGATATAGTAAATATTGACCAATCTATCTATTAAATTTATAATGTATGCAGATGATACAACACTTCTTTATGCTGCTGATAATGTGGATGAGCTCGTGTCAAATATAAATTTAGTATTAGATAAAATATTATCATGGGACCATCATATTGCCTATCTAAATAAAAAGCTATCTAAGGTTGTAGGGCTGATATGCCAGAACCCAGACGTGGACGTAGTTCAACTGCTCTACACAGATTACTGTAGTTTAACTACTTTTCCGAGTAACTTAGTAACTTTCAATTACAACTTTATTTGGGTAATTAGTAGTTTAGTTTAACTACGTTTTGCAGGTAACTTCTCAAATTATTAGCTACTTTCGAAATCTAGTGCTAATTTTGCTCATGACAAAAGTTTGAGTGCAGAAATAAATAAGACGCCGGCAGATGAAGTGGCATTCCCGAACAAGGGGCCCCCTCACATTCCGTTCCCACTCGCTTATACTCGGCAGCCGTAGAGACTGCATCACAGGCGTCCTTGGGCCAAGGTGGCGACGAGTACCCAAAATATAACACCGGCGCGCACGAACGCAGGAAGTGATGCTTAACAAGCCGTGGTCGGGTATTGACCTAATCCGGTAATGCAGGCAGGCGCCGCGCCTCCAGCTGCAACCGTGAAAGAAGGGGACACTCCGAGGGTTGTTGTTGTTTTCATGTTGTCTGCTTTTAGTGAGCTCTGCCTCGAGCAGTTTGGGAGTTCCACGGGAGGCGCCACTGGAATGACCTCGTTGCTTGTCGTTGCTTCTCTGCCTGTTATGGCTTATATGTCGACACCTTTGCATGGGATGGGAGGCCAGAGGCCAGATTCATAAAAAACCTCTTACCTACGACAACTTAGCTACGAAGTTCGTAAAGTTACGATCATCGTAAGATGAGGCGAGAACGGTATTCACAAACGCGTTCTTAAGTGAGAGGAGGAAAGTTACGACCTTTTACGGAGAAACGATGACTTCCGGTGCTGTTGCTATGGCAATGGCGTCTTCGGCAGAACGAACAACCAATTAGAGAGCTAGGCGTATAGTTCGGAGCACGTGGATTTTTAATAACAAACACAGGCTAACCACTCGTTGATAGACAGCTCTGTGTATATCCTGTCCTGTCTGTGTGTAAACGTGTTGTGTTCAAGCTCATTCTCATAAACACGGGCGACCTTTCCACCACCGCTTGTCTGGGGTTCGTGTCCGTGCAGTGGTATATCGACGCTAACACGATTTAAACGCTTCGTTGACTGCTACAAACTCGATCGCTACGAAGTCAACAGAACTGTCATCGTTGGTAAAAGCCCCGTGCCAGTCGTTTCCAAAGCGACGTAGAAGGAAACAAACCGCCGCGGCGTTTCTCGCGGCCTCGGAAATGCAGGTGTGAGCCGATGTTAAAAAAGATACGTTTGAACTACGAGAGTGTCAGCAAGAGTCACGCAAATACCTGTTCACACTGAGCAGACGCGTGCGTTTGATTGAAGTGCTGGATTCAGACCGCGTTTCGGTAAGCGCCTCGGGACCGATCTTCTACGATTGCACCTCGATACTGACGTGACACTCGGCAAAGAAAGGTTGGACCGGCATCGCGTAGCTCCCACAAACTGATAAAGCTCGACAGTTAAAAATGGCATACTAATAACAAAGTGTACATACCGTGTTGCGAAGGTAATCCATACGGCGTTTATTTGAGCTCTATATCACACAAAGCAAGGAGATAGAATCGAGGAGTCCTCATTTCGACGACAGCGTTCGTCACCGCTGCCTCGGAAAACAAGGCGATCGAGATGATAAGGGGAATCGGTTGACCTCTGAAATTTAGTTCAGCTATCAAACTATTCATACGGGGAGGGTCCACGAGGGTCGCACGGGCATATTCCATTCAGCAAGCCAGCCGGTCGTGCGCAGACGGTCTTGGCCAAGGACCGTCTGAGCAATGCTGCGCCGGAACGGGTCGGAGTGCCTGCTAGGCCTATATATTCTGCCGAGCTCGCTTGGTCGGTGGGATCGTCGCCTTTGTTGCCATTTCCGGGTGTCTGTGGATCCAGCGTTCATGTTCGTCGTGGTCGGTTTCAAGTACTTCTTCATTTTTTTCTTGCTGCTTGAAGTCGGGACGCGCAAGAAGAGCAGGTAGAAAAATAAATGTCCGTTGGGTCGTCGCGACCGAGCAACTGAGCGAGGTTGTCGGCCATGTTA